TTCGATCACTCTTGTGAAGAACTCACCAGGACGCCAAATCATCGACAATACATCGACTATCTGTGCACGAATGCATGTTGCCACGATTGCCAAGACAACGGATTTCACGCCAGCAATCAAGTACTCGCCTGGGGCTCATTCTGGGGACCATCGTGGCCAAAGGGACAGCTGTCGCCTTTGTTGCAAAATCCTTAGCCGAACTCGGTTCTGCCATACCCTTCTGAGTGTGTGCTCCATCACTCAACACACTTCAACGATACATGAAAGCTCGAAACCTATTCACCTCTCAAATCAATCTTGCCAAGGATCCATTTTGCCAATACCTACCTCGGATTTGCTTCAGGAACTGCACACACGTAAGTCACAAAAGAAAGCCTTGCCTGCAAATACTCACCCAAAGCCCAACTTCTCGGCAGCTCGGGAAACAAGAACCCCCAAAACAAATGGCCAATACACCCTGGAAGACTAACATGGAAGTGGAGAATGGCCCATTTTCCACTACAAACAGGTGGTTTTCCACTTCCATGTTAGTTTTCGGGAGTGTAGGTGGATTGCAACAAAAAACTTCCTTCTGAGCGCAGCCAACCTGCAGGCGACTTTCTTCAGCTCTGCCGCCTTCCTGGCTCTCTCCTCTTCTTTCTCCTTCTCCCTCCGAGCCTTCTCCGCCTCCCGCGCCTCCTGTTTCTCCCGTTCACGCTGCTCCTTATCCACTTTCTCCACCTTCACCTAGACCGGAGAGTCCGACTGTCCCTCAAAGGTGACATCCTTGATGTATCTAGAGATCTCCATACTAATACTTCACACCAAATAATACAATTCTGCTTTATGAAATCAGTATACTTGATATGAATATTTAATATCACACCCTCCAAAATATATATGTTCAATTCTTCAGGGTATAACTTTCTTCACATGTCAAAATCGATTATATTATACTAAGTTTGATCATTTGTTCTCAGATTTAACAACAAGTTATTATGCATATAAATAAATATATTTTTATATATGTTTTTGGTCGTCCATTGATCTATCTATGAAATTGTAGCTAGAATACGTGTAGACTTGTAGACTCAAACGTAGACACAAACCACAATTAATCTGTGTAAAAGTATACAATACGTTCTTATTTAATGGAAAATGGATATGTATCTGTATATAAATATAATCCATTGACCCTATTATAATCCATTGACGTTATATATCAACTCTGTCTGACACTGTTGCTTTCATTTTCCATCTGCAAAGC